CCCCATTTCCAGGGAAAATTTAAAAAAAAAATTAAAAAAATCCACCCAGAGTCCACCACATCGCTTTTATAATTATTTCTCCTTTGTTACAACAAACCAGAAATACAGGATTCCACTGAAACCGGAACAGGTCACAGAACGGTCGGACTTAAAACTTGAGGAGGGGGAGGAAGAGACCCCTTCCCAAACCCTTGGGGTAAGCGCAGGCAGTTGGTCTGACCCGAGGAGGCGGTTTTGGTTACCCCGAAAGGTAACAGGAATTTTGGTGTGTTAAAAGAGACAGTTCTACCACACTTTGCCGTCACAGCTGTAAGTTTTATGTTCCTGCTTCCAACTCCTTTAAATAAACACTCGTTTTCTCGCAGATACAGATACTACTGGTGCCATCTGTTCAAACACAATGCAAAAAGAAATTCAAAGTTATCTAAAAAAAACAACAAAACCAACAAACCAAGGAAGTTCTCAACCTGGGAAGGGCTCTGCACTAGGCATTAACAGAACACTGGCTACCAACGGAAGTTTTGGTGCAAAACAAGAAAATTGGCCTGTTTGCCCTGCTGGGAGTTGTGGTTTGTGGGGTTTTTGGGGTTGGTTTTTTTTTTTTTTTTGCTTCGGATGGGTTAAATTGAACTGCGGGTGCAAACTTGGCCCTTGGGTCACGCTCGGGGACAGGGCCGACCCCAAGACACAACTGTGGAGCTTGAGACATGTAACCGCGGGATCCCAGCACCGACGAGAGCTTCATCTAACACGCCACACAGCGAGGCACCAGCGCTGATGTCAGCCGATTAACTGCAGCAGATCTGTCACATTCATGTTTGGAGTACTCGGGGAAAGAGAGAGAGAGAGATATAAAAAAAAATCCAAAAAAAAAAAAGGTTTCATACAACAGATAGTATCAAAATGTTAAAGGAACACACTAAAGTCTGGTTTTTCGGTAGAACAGGGCCGCTCCCTATTCCTGCGGGTCCTTCCAGCGTGAATCAGGGTTTCCGTTTTTAGCTTATGGGCATCGACATAACACACTAACTTCAGCGACAGTCTCTCGGAACGACCTTCAGTCGTTTGTTTCCGGGTCTGTCTGAGCCATGTAAGCATCCAGCTCGGCATCGAGGTGTCCTTTCGTTTTAGACATGTAAGCATCCAACTGGTTGTCCAGCTGCTCCTTGGTCAACGCAGGACGTGCCGATCCTCTTCCTCGTCCTCGTCCTCTGCCACGACCTCCGAAGCCCCCTCGTCCCCGGCCCGCCATGCCGCGACCTTACAGAGAGACAAGATGACGGTTACGCACTCCACCAGACCGAGCCTCGGCGTTCGCTGCGGTCGCCGCTCCTCTGGCGGAGCCTGAACGACGCAGCGTGCTGGGCAGAGCTGCTCCGGATTATCTCCCCAGGCTCCCGTCTCAGCCCAGACAGACATTTGATCCACGCTTAAGAGCTACGCTCTTAGCTCAGACTCCAACCCCCACCTACGCGCTGCGTGCTTCTCTCCCGCGGAGCGTACCCCAAAATCCCGCACATCTCTGGGATAGGCTGGAGCTTTTGGCAAAACGGCAATGCCGCGAACCGTTATGAGCAAATTTTTCCTACAGACATGTACTTCAGATTGAGAGGTTTTCAGACTCCTTCAGAAGTAGGATCCCCAAGAGCCCCCATCGATCAGCGTGTGTTTGTCAGGCTAAGGAACGGAGCTAAAGCTACGAGCCAAAGCTGTCAAGAGATAGGCAGCTTCCCGACAACTGCGGCTCTAGCTCCTACAAACGCGGGGCCAGTCCCAAAGTAACAAGAGAGAACATTTGGCTGATGTTCTAACCAAACATCTGTCTGAAACATTAACCACCCATCAACAGCTGTCTCCTGTATTTCCTCTTGCACTCCTGCTTTACTGCTTCTCTGCTTTGTTGTTGAAAAGAGTTCATTTACCCAAGACTTGGTGCAGTTTCAGGCTCTGAATTTAAGTTTATTCTGCAGGGGTTTAGGCTTTCTACGCTGTTAAATTTTCCCCGTGTTGGGTTTGCGTGGCAAGGTTTTGGCAGTGGGGGGGGGCCCTACAGGGGCGGCTACCAAAACCTTGTCCTGCAAACCCAACACACCCCCTCACTAATTATTTTTGAGAGTCTTTGTTTACACAGGCTATCATTTCCTTCTTAAGTGTGAGGAGACAGCGGAATCTTCCTCAATACGCTGGAGATCCCTCAACTGCCTCGACTGCTGTTCCAAGCGTCACAGAACCAAGTGATAACCCGCAGGAGCCAACAAGTCCGCTGACGATCCCCAGAACCCCTCCAGCAACGTCGACAGCGTCAAGGACCTCCCGAAACTCCTCAAGTCTGCACACACTAACCTCTGCCACCAAGCCCTCCGCGGCCCATGGCGCCTCTGCCTAGACCACCTCTTCCGGGGCCACCGCGACCTCTAATGCCACCTCTTCTCAGGCCCATCCTGGGGGATATACCTCGTCCTCCACGAAGCAGGCTCTGACCTTCAACACAGAACAGGGATTCAAATCAGAAAGAACTTCAGTTTCAGACTGAGCAACAGAATCAGAGTCATGCTGTCAAGAAGACCGCGTTACCAACGTCCAGCCAGGGTACTGACCTCTGAGTGGGACTCCTCCTCTCAGAAGAGCTCTGGCTCCCCGGCCACCACGCATGGCTCCTCGAAAAAAAGCCCCATGGACAGTCCTCTTCCTCCCATGGCTCCGCGAGCAAGGGGTCCCGCCGGCCGGCCTAATCGTGCCTGAATGTTACTTTTACCGAGGCGTTGTTTTAAGCTCTTCTGGAATAAAAGATTTTTAAGAAACAAAAAAAAAAAGTCATGCAGCAATCTCAGATTTGCGACACAAACTGCATAGCAACTGCCTATCAATAAAAGTGGTGTGTTTTGGTTTTGGGTTTTTTTTTTTTTAAATAAAATAGAGGGTCACCAGCTCTCTGCAATATGTAATCAAGCTTCAAAGGAAGACAATCAAGTCTGCTCTGGGAGGGATAATTTGTGAAGGCCAAACAGAGAACAAAGACCTTTCCTGGAAGCAAGTGTTTGTACAGAGACAAGAAAGTTTGCAGATTTGGAAGGAAATATTTCTCTCCAGTTTTAGCAGTGCTGCTCTGTCCAAATCAAAGCAGACACTTAGTCTGCAAGGCAGCCCGCTAATCCTTTCTGCTGGAAGGTGATGGTCCAAGCAAACCCCCGAGATGGAAAGCAACTACCCCTGCTGTGGCACAGGCTAACCTACCTCTGCAGGGCAAGGGACATCAGTGCAGCCATGTGCCACGAATATCATCCCCAGTGGCCCACTGCCCCATCCCGGCTAGGCTTCCACGCAGACTACGGCCACAGCTAGGAAAAGCATCAGCTTTTCCATCTATATTCCTAACAGGAAACTAGACTGAAGAAATCTACCCTCACTAGAACAGCAAAATACTGATATTTGTGTATCTGACTTCTGAAGTGGTTTGGTTGGTTTTTTTGGTGGGTTTTTTTGCGTGTCCTGTATGTCCAGCCACCAGACTCTGTTTTACAGACAGAGCTAGCATCCCTTGGGACAGCTCTAGCAGCTCCTGCCCTCAAATCCCTGTACCAGAACCGCTGCAGAAACGGCTCAACTGCTCGTGAAGCAGCAGCTGAACTGCCAATTTACATCCCAGTGTCATTAACACACACTGGTACCAGTTTGGGCTCCACAGAGGCGGCTGTGGCTTCTGCAGGCACCGCTGAGCCCTACAAGGAGGCAAGAAGCAAGAGGGAACCCTCACGCTTGTCTCAAGAACAAGAGCTCTCGGCCCTAAAAAGGTAACGTGATGCAAGCAGCCATAAAGGCTGTATTTTACTACAGGTTCCAAGAGTTGCTTAAATTTATTGCTTGTCAGCTTTACAGGTCTGCCTGACCCAAGCCCACGGACAGCTGAATTGGTTCCTCTAAAATCAGTCTCTCCTGTAGCGGTACTAAGATTTTAAGTTCTATTGCCTCAGAGTTTAGATAGTCATTCATTTTTCCAACAGCTGCAGCAGTCTGAAAATGTCAGCCTCTCTCTTTTGCCCTGCCTCCCTGGCAGAAAGGAATGAAAAAGCACATGTATGTTCCACATCCAATTGTTCGTTTATGTCACTTACCATGAGAGTTTAAGATAAGCTGCTGGACTTTGCACTGACACAGCCTAAGGGTGCTCTACCTCAGAGCGGCAGCACCTTGGTCTGCTCCAGCTACTAAGTAAACGCATGTCTAGAACCACAGCCAGTATAAATGTTTTTACATTAAAAACCCCAGCAGTTTACGTGCACAAGCAGTGCTCCACAGGAGTTTAGAGAAGTCCCTTCTGAAGCACAGGTGACCCATCACTGGGATCAATGCTCCCCAGCGCTTCCGGACAGAGCCCATCCAGAAGGATCAGAAAAGCTCCCGGTGACACCAAGTATAGCACTTGTAAAAATCCAATCATCACATCAACTTCCAGAGCAACCTGCAATCTTCAAAGAACAACCAGCATAAACCATGTTTCCACATTT